GCATCCAATGCAGACACGGTCAAAATCAGGTATTCATAAAACTAAACAAATCTTTGATCTCTCCACAACTGTTTCTACCTCAGCTATACGACGACATACAAGCAAGCAGTGACATCCTCGCAATGGCATTATGCCATGACCGAAGAAATTCTTGCTCTCAAACGACAAGGCACGTGGTCGCTCGTCCCTCCCCCCAACAATGAACCAATTCTTGGTTGCAAATGGACGTACAAACTCAAAACTCTCCCAAATGGCTCCATTGATCGCTACAAAGCACGCTTAGTGGTTCAAGGATTCAATCAGACACAAGGAGTCAACTACAACAAAACCTTTAGCCCCGTCGCAAAAATGACAACCATCATAATGCTTCTTACTCTTGCTCTTCACCGAGACTGGTCCATTCTTCAACTTGACGTCTCCAATGCATTCTTGCACGGAGATCTCATAGAAAACATCTACATGCGTCAACCGCCGGGTTTCATCGACTCTCAGAAACCAATGCACGTGTGCAAACTTCACAAATCCCTCTTCGGACTCAAACAAGCGCCGCGCCAATGGTTTCAAAAACTCACGGCATTTCTAATCCAATTTGGCTTCAAGTTTAGTCGTTCCGACCCTTTACTTCTTATTTTTCATAAAAATCAAATACAATTATATTTCCTCATTTATGTAGATGATATATTGCTTACAGGGAACAATTCACAGCTGATTCAAACACTTCTTCAACAGCTTCATTCGAATTTTGCTCTAAAATAACTAGGTCCAATATCTCTGTTTCTCGGCATTCAGACAACCAAAACCATCGCCAGATACTTCTTACATCAGACTCACTATGCTCAACAAATTCTCCAAACCGCAGGTCTCGCCGAATGCAGTTCGGCCCCGACTCCGATCACCTCGACCAAGGCAAATCAGAGTGCTTCAACCACACCATTCTCGGACCCCCATCTCTACAGGAAATTGGCAGGTTCCTCCAATACCTGTCAATCACACGTCCGGATATAGCGTTCACAACAAATATGATATGCCAACACATGCACGCTCCGACCAAACATAATTTTCAAATGCTAAAACGATTACTCAGATACATTAAAGGTTCGATCAACTACGGGTTATCCATCACTCTCGAAAACCTTCAACTTCGTAGCTACACGGATGCGGATTGGGAGTCTGACAGCACCGATCGCAAATCGGTATCAGGATGGTGCACCTTCCTTGGAGACAACCTCATTTCTTGGTTCGTCAAGAAGCAAGCTACGGTGGCCAAATCATCAACAGAGGCAGAATATCGCTCACTTGTCGCCGCAACATCAGACGTGCTGTGGCTTAGACGGCTGGCCGATGAACTCCAAATCACGCAGCATTCTCCGACCATCATACACCGTGACAACACGTCCGCCATCGCACTCGCCAACAACCCCGTGTTTCATGCCCGGACCAAACACATCGAGATCGACTACCACTTTATCCGTCAACACATCAACTCTGGAGCCATTACCGTTCCACACATCAGCTCCAACAATCAAATTGCAGATATTCTAACCAAGGCACTGCATACGGCCAGATTTGAAGAACTTAGAAACAAATTAACCATTCACCCTCAAAAATGATTAATGAGGGGGCCTCTTAGGATATCTGCTATGACACGTCATCCTTTGGTTTCTTTGTAATTATGGATGTATTCATTTACTTCACTTCTATAAATAGCTCGTGTACTCAAGCCTTTAACAATATAATATCATATTTTCTATTTCCGTGAAACCTCTGTTCTTCTCTCTACTTTCTTTTGATTTCTTGCAGTTTAGAGCAGTTTTCTTACTGTTTTTAAAGCAACTTTTTAGTATAAAAATTTCTTAACTAAGAAATATTTGTATTAAAAAATTGCTTCAAAAAATAATATGAAAGTCGGCCCAAACTAAGCTTTAATCAGTCAGAAGTCACAATCATCAGCATTTTTACAGTATTATAATTTCTTAGCTATCAAAAAAGATACCTGAAGCTGCATCATTCTGTTCTTTAATCATTCAACATAATGACTTTACATGATGAAAGTTTTGAAGCCAACAAAAAATTAAATAAAACTGTGACTCGTCTGAATGCAACATAGTTTGCGCATTAAAAAAAGTTATTATGACGTTGATTAATATTGAAATCAAATGGTTAAAGACCATTTGAATGGATCATTAGAAGCGTCCAAATATGATTTGGGATTAAGCTAAATATAATCTTATTTTAATTCAAGATTAAGTTTTTGTTCGGGATGGCTTTCTTAGTGTTTCTTAAAGTAATTTTTTTGTTAAAAAATTTAAATTTTTGCACTATAAAACCGTTTTAAAAAGCAGTATGAAAATTTTACTAAACAAAACCTAAGTTTGTGGCTGATATGTTAATGTTATTATTGTTTTATCATCATTCAATATGAACTCTGATATAGTTGTAACTTGAAAGAGATGTTTTTAAAAATGTTCTTCTATCATTTAATATAGCATAAAACTACACTAAACAGGTCATAAATGAGTTAAAGATATGAACCTACTTAACAATTATTCATGTTATATTCATATAGTATACATAAATATAAATTATTTGATATATCATTAAAAAATATATTCAATCAAATTTGAATTCTTATGCAATTTTTTAAGTACAAATTTTTTTTTAATTAAATTTAGGATAATTCAAGCCTTGATTTGGACAAATATTTAGTTGAATTAAATATCTTGATGAGACAAATCTAATCATAATAGAAGTGATCCGATCGACTCCAAATGAGCTAAAATCAAGAACTTGACGCTTGCTTGAAATATTCATGATATTAATTGAATGACCAAATGATTTTTGATTCTTGCATGTTTGTAATAAAGAACGGGCATCTTGATGAGATTAACCTAATAAATTCAAAATTAATAAACTTTGAGGTCATTAACACATATAAATGTTGAAAGAATAGTTTATGATGGAGAGTGCTATAGAACAACAAGTATATGATAATAAACTAGATATATTTATAAGAATGAAATAGATTTTTATTAGTTTGATAAGATTTCAAGCTATCCTGCAAAGTATAGTCATTGTCATATAATAAATTCATCAACATGATGCAAATATGAGAAAAAAAATATTGCAATTAATCCTCATAATCAATTTATAGAAAGTATACAATCATTATCAACATATAAGAAGTTTTTTTATTTTAATTGTTATGTTGCCATCATTATCATCATGAAATCATAGAAGAAGTTGATTGTAATCATGATTATCACATAAAATTTTGAATGATTCAATTTTAATTTTATAAATCAAATATGAATAATTAAGGGCGGAGTAATAAAAAAAAAATTTATCAAGGTAAAAATAATTATTGGGATTTACTCTCTTATAAATATCTAAGTAATGAATCTACCATGGGATGTCCTCCTCTCTTTCAACATTTTATTGAGTTTCCAATACAAAGAAAGAAGCTTTGGATGCATTATAATTAATGATATTTTCAATTAAGTAAAACTAGCATTGATTATGCAATCAAACAAACAAAAATTGGAACTTTTTTTTATTCATACTTAACATTTTTTAATAATTTCTATTTTTAGTACTTATAACTATTGAGTGAGTTATATCAAAGAATATGGTAGATTGAACGAATGTAAGGTGACATGAAGCATCATTCATAATCATGCATTATTAATGGAAAATTAGTGGATTACTAATCATAGTCCTTCTTGTGTGTTAGAAAATCTGAGTTGGTATGGTGTATGTTTTACGTCTTAACATTGTATAAAGATTCAACATGTATAGATAAAAATAGTAAGACTAGAGATTTTTTACGTGGAAAATCCAGAAAGGGAAAAATCACGGACTTGTCAGATAGTCCATATTAATTATACCGATCATAGAATTTTCGTCAAGCATTTAAGTACCTTAAAGATGTCAGAGTTAAGTGATATAGGGTTCATTGAATTTTTCTTGTTGAGTTGCTCATTTTGACTATAAGCATGTCATATTTTGAGATTATTTGGTTACCCAATTAATGCTTTGAAGTTTTCAAACATATTTAATTCCCTTGATTCGAGCCCATTGTACTTGGATTATTAGACCAAATTTAGCATCATTGGGTTCGATTCGTCAAAATTTTTAGTTTGACTGTAAGTTTGCTAAGATTGGAGTTCATATGATCCCAAATTTAATTTGAAAACCATCTCTCAAATTAGTGTATGATTAAGATGATTTTTTATGACGTATCAGTAGTACTATTGATTCTTCTAAATGGTTGCAAAAAAAAAAAAAAAATCATGATTTTGCTTACAAAATATCTTCATGGCTGAATTAATGATTGGTGTGGACAACCTTTATCACTTCGCCATGAATTGATTGATCCCTATGCTCTCAGTAAAGTCTTATTGAGTTTTTCTTTTTGTTGTCTGATTGAGTTCTTTGATGTTAAGTTAAATTATTCTAAAATAGGATATGAATTCAAATACTTTTTTAACACGTGAAATCCTAAGTTTCATTTGATACAAGTCTTTTACTACTACTTAAAGTAATTTTATAGTGTAAAAATTAATTAATTTTTATTAAAAAGCTGCTTTAAAAAACTAATAAGGAAGTTGTCTCAAATAAAATCTTAGGCTTCGTTTGAGACGACTCTCTTGCTTTATAGTAAAAAAAATTAATTTTTATTCCAAAAAATTATTTTAAAGAGTAGTAAGAAAATCGTACTAAACGATGCCTTAATTCCAACCTTGATAAACTTGATTGCATGGTTGCACCTGACTTTTTAGTGTATAGTTTTTTTTTTGTTACTTTATTATTTATATTATGGCTTCATTTAAGACAATTTTCTTACTATTTTGAAAAGTTAAAATAGGCTTTGCATCACCTTGCTCCTATAAATTTTTTTTTGAAATACAATAAAAAAATAGTGACTAATTAGAAATTATGATTGCGGTCTGAAAAACAAAGCCTCAAAAAAGTAAAACTTTGTTTGAGACGGCTTTCTTATTCTAAATAATTTCATCATCCCTATCTTATCGACTTCCATTCTGAGCCAAAGGAAAGTAAGGGCTGTATTTTGGCATTTTCTTCGTCTTCGCAGAGGCAATGGGCAGGAAATTCTTCGTCGGCGGCAACTGGAAATGCGTATGTGTTCTTGTCTTTCTGAAATCAATATTTTAATCCATTTTAGCATCTATTTTTGGTTAGATCGTCCATCTTATATCCTTCATAATCAATCGTTTCCATTAAAATTGGTTATCCTTCCGTTTTTTTTATGAACTTTAATCGGTGATTTCGTTTGCGATTTGTCTATACGCTCGCTGAATCATAATTTTGGATTGTTCCTTCCCGATCTGCATACTTGCGTCACTAGATCTGATATTGAATAACCTTTTGTTAGTGTTTTGGATATTGGACTGAATGTTTGTGCACTAATTTGATCCGTGCTTGAGATCAGGTTATCGATGCTATTTTGTTTTTGTAGGCGGGTTGAAATCTCAGATGCGGATAAAATACTTGTGCCCTAAACCTTAAGCCCTAAAACATAATTAAAAAAAAGAAGCAATTTTGTCTGGAATTTAGCATTACCAAAATTTCAATGCCTACATACTAAATCATGACCCATGACCGCTGCTCCATCTAAATATTATAAAGCGTTAAACATCTTATTCCGACTTCGATTCACTAGAACTATCACTAGTTTAACTATTCGTCATCTTATAGCCCACATCAACTGGCTCTAAAGAGGACTTTGAATTCAGGTGGAATTGAACTCTTGTTCCGGAGCTACCAACAATAGATGGATCATAAGCTACGTAGGATGACCTGTGGTATTTAAAAAAAATGAAATGTAACAAATTAAAATCATTTGAATGATTGCTATCATTTAATGTCAAAGCTTTTATTCGAAAATCGAATTTGACAACTTTGCTGCCCTCAGTAGCTGCTGTAGGAAAATGTTGTAAATCATTTGCAAAATTATCTATGAAGACTCTATCAGACAATTCATATGGGATGCATTTATTATGCACCTAGGTGCTAGGTATTGGAATGACTTCAGTGCATACAACTAGTGGCTGATTGCAAGTATTAACTAGCACCATCTCTGTGGTGTTACAAAAAATCTACCGCTTAATGGGTGTCGTTGGAACAAATTCACCATAAATCTTGACAAATCATAGTTTAAAGACTAGAGAATTTTACTCTTTAACTGTTGAAAAGAAATAAGCGGTGTAACTTGTAATGGATCGTTACAACCACCAATCATAGTTTAAGCAGTCGCTGACTTTCCTCTTGAGTTTTGCAGAATGGAACGACAGAGGAGGTTAAGAAAATTGTTGCAACTCTGAATGATGGGAAGGTTGCCTCACAGGATGTTGTTGGTACGCCCCACTCCCGCCCTACTCTAGCTTTTTTATCCTTGATGATTTTTTTTTTAATTTTAAGTTGGAAGTTAGATTTGAGTTATTGTTCAGTTGGTTACCCTTTTTTTTACGTTTTGAATTCACTGAATGTCCTTGATAGAAGCTTCCTAGGTTGCATTTATTAGTCATCGTTTTTTTCTAGCATTTTCCTGTTTGAACGCTTTGCTTGGAGAGTTATCGTAGTATTTTTGTTAATAACAAATTGGTGTGGCTCTTATTTTTTTTAACCATATGCACGTTGGATGATAACTTGGAATAATTTTGATTTGGATCCCCTGTACCAAGATGAAAATTGGCTACTATATTGTGAAATGCAAAACTTATTGAACCATTTTCAGACATCTATACTCGTCAGGCTTATATTTGAAGCTCAGGTTTGGAATCAGTAGTTCAATAATGTTTAACTAAACATGCTTGTGCTGGTTTGTTGATCACTTTTAGCCTTACCTCAATTGATAGACACATTTTTTTATACCCTCCTATGGTCATGCTTCTTCGATGTTGCTTGTAATGTTAGCTTTAGTTTGCGGAAATCATTTTTCATATTTTTTGGATGTATTACCTCTCATCTGCCCATTTGCTTATGTCTAGTCATTTTTATTGTGTGTTTACGCTGATGTTAACTCTCGTTTGTGCAAGCTATGTTGCACAGCTCAATGTTTTCATAATTTTTATGCCAAAATGAGAAAGATAGGGGTCCTTGTTAGGTTGAAAATAAATTTTGAAACCTATAAGAATTACCATGAAATGAATGGAGATATTTATCATCCTAGTTCAGTCCTATGTTGCACCAATACGGATACGGCGACACGGATACGACACGATATGGATACGGGACACGTCAATTCTTAAAAATATAGGATACGGGTACGGCGCGGACGCGGCATCATAATTTATAAATCATACATAAAAATTAAGAAAGCAATCAAAACATAATATTTGAAATTACAAAAAAAAATGATAACAACATCATTTGTAGCCTTGTAGCTTATAATATCAAAATATAAGCAAGCATTAAATGTCTAGTACAACAACAAAAGCATAAACATAATTTGTCTAGCACATAAAGTTTCAACTATTCAATAGAAGGAATGATATGATTAGCTTCTTCAGTGGTTTGTCTTTGAACTTCTATATCTTCTTCAATAAATATCATAGCTTTTAATTCAGGCTCATCAAATGAAAGATTAGTAATTTCTAATATTCTCATATCATCAAGAGACTCAAATCCATCTCGGAAATGAGAGTACTTTGCTCGCAGTCGCTGAAGTAAATACGATGCATCCTTTTTTTCCGGATTTCTTTTTGTTTTTCAACGGACTCGTGTATCGTATATGCGTGTCCTTTTGAAATTAAATAGTATTTTAATTAGATATGTCTTTGGCGTATCTGACACGTATCGGTGGAGTATCGGAGGCGTATCCGTGTATCTCGGATACAACACACCTTCATAAATAGGTGTATCGGTGCAACATAGGTTAAGTCCAATGTGAAAGCACATGAATTATAGATAGTTTTTTTTTTTTTGCTCTAATTTTTAATTTTTAATATTACATAATCCAATTAAATGGACATAAACAAGAAGAGGTTATATTTAGCATTCTCACTGATTGCTTGTAAAAATTTTAATGATCATCTTCATTAGCTTTGTTCCAATGTTAGATGTTGGCTTTGTGAAATAATTCTCCTTAATTCATTCCCATTAAATGTTACACGGATAGTTATTTATGGTTCACATAAGTCCTTTTACGTGAATTATAACATTAGTTCCTTTTATCTACTCACCTTCTTCACATCCTTCGTCATTTTACACTTCTTGATGGTGCAACCTATGTTCTTTACTTTGCATGTACAAAGTATAGAAGTCTATTATTGTCACCCTTGGATCTTAATAGATGTTGCTTCCATTTCTCCTTTTCATTTAACCATTTCTTACTTTGTTTTTCCTATTTTTAACATACATCTATTTTTAGGATTCTTATTTGTACCTTACTCAACTTAATTGCTAAAGGCTGCTTTATTATTCAATGCTTCAATGGAAAAGCATCATCAATCTAATCACAATCTATAAAATATATCTTCAACTTTCCTTGACATCATTTTATCTTATTGTATTCCTAAAGCATTTCTTCATTATATCTATCCAAATTTAAGGGAATATTTGTTTTAATGTTTTTCTTATGATCTTATGTTATTTATTATACAGAACATTTGGTTTTGATGTTATCTCTCACATTGAGGTAATCTGAATAATTTTGGTAGTCTAATTTAAGTTAATCTCAATACTAACCAAATTGTATGCTATCTAGATTATATCAATATTGATGATTTAGAAGAAAGGGAAAAAGTCTTGATTGCCATTTTAATTAATCTGAAGAAAGTTTCATTTTTTTAAGTATGATAACAATGCTAAAATTTATCTAATAATATTATCTAAATAATATTTTGCGAAGTAAATCCTAAAATTTATGTAGTTATTCCTATACAAATAATTTAATTTAAATTGAAATTTTATATCATGTTTGGAGTCATTAATTTTTTAATTTTGAGCCTATCGTTTTAACTTTACATTGGAAGCCTCACTTGATAGAATTGGCATATGCTAGTAGTAGATACTAGGCTATTCTATCTTGAATCTCTTATAGCAATTTTGTAACCAATACGAATGGATAATTATTTAATGTAAATATTTGGCCGAGTAAAAAGTATTTGATCACTTCACAACTACTTAAACAAATTAATGCTCCAGCATACATAAAGAGGTTGGAAACCCATACCAATGGTTTAGAAGGCTTATGTTCTCTCCATTAGGCAATGTATACCCTGCTTCCCTTTATTTACATTTTTTCATAAAATACATATAAATTACCTGATTCAGTTTATAAAATAAAAAGAAGTCAAATCTAAATGGATATTGCATTTTAATTACATATAAATTAAGTGTATTGCATTTAAATTTCACATCATTTTAATGCTTTTTAGTTCTTGCAATATTCTATCATATAGCTTTTCATGTTCAACAAAACAGATGAATATCTTTTTTTCAAGCTTTGTTCCATCACCTTCTTTCATAACCTAATTTTCAGGGTTCATAGTTTGAATCTCTTATATTGCACCCAATCTTAAATATCTGCCTTCTTTTTAAATACTAGTACTGAAGTACTTCTCCTATTCTTTTGCTTCCTCTTAATTCTTAGAGAATGTCATTAAAGAGATTTGTTAACTATACTATTACAATACCTCCTATACTCTTCAAATCTCAGAAGATATTTTCATTGAAACCTAAATTATTTTCAAATTTTTTATTTTCTATTCTAGTGAATACTTTATAACTTTTTTTTTTCATTTTACATTTCAAAAGACTTATATATTTGATGATTTCAACTAAAACAGCATCATGCATGATCCACGTTTTAACCATTTTGACTTACTTTTGTTCCATCTTGCTTGTTTTCGTTAAGCCTTACAGATGCATTTCTTTTATCTTTTCTTCCAGAGGTTGTTGTAAGTCCTCCTTTTGTGTTTCTCCCTCTTGTGCAAAGTTTGTTGCGCCCTGACTTTCATGTTGCTGCTCAAAATTGCTGGGTGAAGAAAGGAGGTGCGTTCACTGGTGAGGTCAGGTGAGATTACGTAACCTACATCTTTCCATTGTTGCATGCATTTTCCTTTGTCAAGTCAGTATCATGTCTTTGGTTCATGTTGTTTTCAGATGGCCATGCTTAGTTTTTTTGTTATTTTATCTTTTTGCCTCAAGTTGCAGGCTTGCAGCTACTTGAGTGACTAATTTCTATGTTTATCTTCTTACAGCTAAAGAACTATAACCTGTGCGTTAGTCACTTTCATATGCACTTGGATTTAGATGCGTATTTTAAATGATTATATTCATAAGAACACTGGTTTTTTCTCCGTTTGTGTGTGTGGATGGGGGAAGGGGGTGAGGAGTTTGGTGGTGTTAGTTTAAAGGATGGAGCAGTATGATGTAACTACTCCATCCAGATGGAACTTAAAGACTTTTCAAGTTTTTATTTTTTTAATGGATCTCAAAAAAATATATGGCCGTGTCTACCTCTCAAGTGTCAAGCACTACACTCTAGAAACGTGCAGCAAGGGTTTCCTGTTTTTAGTAGTTCTATGAATTAATTGTTGGGATTGCTCAATATTTTAATTCACGATAGTTGGAATGTGTAGTTTGCTTTGCGCATTGTGTATTTTTTCCATTTCAAATTCAAGTCAAATGTTTAACACACTTTTTTTCTATTTCTTTTGTTTTTGTTTTCTCTCTTTCGAGAGATAAGAAAAAAAAAGGGGGGGGGGGGGGGAATAGGGAGAAAGAAATAGTGAGAGAGGGAAAGAGAAATAGAGATAGAGATTGAAAGAGAAAAATGGAGACTGTGAGTAAGAGAAAAAGGGAGGGAGAGAAAGAGAGAGAGGAAGGAGAGAGATCAGGAGATGGTGAGGTGATCAGCGGTAGATCGAGTATGTGACGGTGATGGTGTCTGTGGTGATAGAGACAGCTAGGGTTGCATGGTGGCTGGGGTAGATAGTGATGACAGCTTAGGCACGATGACTGGAAGAGAGAGAGAGGGTGGAGGATGAAGAAAGAGAGAGGTGTTTTTTTTTTCTTAGGTCAATAGTTGCGAGCATGGAAGATCTAAAATTTGAAATCTATGATACTAACCTGTACTCTTGGCCAAAACTTTGTCCCACTGAAATCTCTCAAATTTTCTCTCTTTAGTCTCTCATCTTGGTCTGATGTGCCCTTCCTCTCTCTAAGGGTTCAATTAATTCTATTGTAAATCTTGAACTAGACCTGATCCTTGGGCTTAAACAGCAGCTGTAGTATGATCTTTGCACCCTTCAAGGATAAGATTCAACATTTTCCAAAAAATTTCCCACCTTATCACTAATTGCACTGATTAGGATAGGTCCAAAAAAGTCAAGTGGGACATAGCCTCGAGCACTTGTTGGATCATTCAGTTCAAGAAACAACAGGAGACAATGAAAACCTTCCTAACTTGCATCATATGTCAAATTATTTTTTATTACGATACTACTATGTTAGCTGTGACACATTGTTTTTTTTATTGCGAGTGCTAAAACAAAAGCTGCATCGGCGGTTACTGCTCAGTTTATCTCTTAATCATTTAATCCTTGCAGTCAACGTGCTTGAACTGTAAGATGGATGGTTATAACTTTTTCAATTTGTTTTAAACTCATTTCATGCAGTGCGGAGATTCTGGTGAATTTAGGTATTCCCTGGGTAATTGTTGGCCATTCTGAAAGGAGGGCTTTACTTGGTGAATCCAATGAGGTTAGTTCCTTTGCATAAATTTTTTTTGCATGTCATACATTCCACGTTATTTTGATGTTGAGTGTGTGCAACTGGTCTCCCTTTTTATCATTGAAATATACTGTTGGTGTGCCCTACTTCCTAATTTGGGTTAAGGAGAGCTCTCATCTGAGTCGAATATTTAATTTGCATGATCATTTTGAGCTCAGTTTGTTCTATAAACGTTGCAGCTTGTTTATATCTTCTCTGTTTTTGCTTTAATGTAGTTTGTGGGAGATAAAGTTGCATATGCTCTCTCTCAAGGTTTGAAAGTGATTGCTTGTGTTGGTGAGACTCTTGAGCAACGAGAAGCAGGCTCAACTGTGGATATTGTTGCTGCACAAACAAGGGCTATTGCAGGTGAAATGCATATATGCTTCTGTTTCTTTTTTACATTCATTGTTTCTTGGTGATTTAATTAATCTTAATCTTGACTTTTTAACTCTCATTGGTAACAATTGTTGAATATAAATTTTACTTGGATCTTTTTTGTGTGCAAAAAATACTTTAATAGGGTCATAGTGCCTTTGTTCATCTGCAATCTTATCATTGTTAAGGGCATGCTTAGGGTGATGGTAGCAGCATAGGCTCTGCTACAACCCAACAAAACATATTCCCGACTATGGCTGATTGGGTCTAGTCATGAAAGCAGCTTAATTACTGGTTGATGCAATAAGCTCCAGTTTGGTGTAGCTCTTTCATGCTTATTGCTGTTGCACTGTAGTGGCATGCACAGGAATGCTACGGGAGATGAAGCTGAAGAAAAATGATTGTCGGAGATTTATTTGTCTTATTGTCTTGTTTTTTTGGATGTACTTCTTGTCACGTTTCATCAAAATCGTTCATTTTCAGCTCCAACTATTATTCTTATGAATTTTAATGGACCACTGATATACTGTTAATACTTGATACAATGTTCATGTTGAGAAAGACTAAGGCTTCGTTTGGGACAGCCGTCTTACTGCTTCGTAAAGCGAATTTTTAGTTCAAAATTTTTAATTTTTGTACTAGAAAACCGCTTTAAGAAGCAGGTAAAGAGCTGTTGTCCCAAACGAAGCCTAAGTTGCATCTAGGTCCCTAATTTTAGGGTTTAATTACATCTGGATCCAGTTTGTAGAACAGTAAGCATTGCTAACAAGATAACAGCAGTAGTAGAACCCTAACCCTCCTAGGTTAGGAACAGTTATTTACAGTATACACGTTTCACTTGTAAATCTTCTTATGGTTATGTACATTGTGGAGGCTTTGCTCCGCATAAATTTAGAGTAACCTTTTTTCCCATCCCGTTTTAAATCGTGGATTTTTTACTGCCTGATAGACTATATAGCTTTTTGTAAAATATATAAGGAATGATGGTCGATAATAAAGCATACCTGCAGAGTGCAGACTCTTACAGAAATAGAGGTTGGTAGGCAATCATAATGCTGAGTATCAAACGATAGTGAACTACACGCTGAGTTTTAAAAAAAATGCTGATCCCTTTATAGTTGTTCCCTTATACCAGCCTACAAGGGACGTCTATGCCATGTGAAGGTGAATATTTTAGTAGTTTTGTGCCTTTTTACTAAGGGCTATTGGTTGGCTGAAAAAAGAATGCAGTGTAAAAGAAATATTTTGGAGTTGTTTGGATGATTATAAAAGGAATGCATGAGATTACTTTTTATTTGTTTGATTTGAAGTAAAATGAATGCAATGTGAAGTGCAAAATGATTGTGGTCGGGGCGGGCGGTAACTAGCGGTGAGTTTCCGGTGTATTTTAAAATCACCCAAATCTGAGGAATTCCAAATACATTGGATTTGAATTAGAGGTTAAATTATTTTTACTTCAAAATTTTACTCTGCATTCCTTTTACTTCAAACCAAACATCAATATTTTCAAAATCTTTCATTTGGAATACTTTACACCATTTTTGCAGCAAACCAAACAGCCCCTAATGCATCTAGTGGCAGTCTAAATGCCTATAAGCTGCATAGCATAGTTTTACTGAACAAATAAAATGAGTTGTAGAAAATTATGAAACCAGTTGCCATCAGGCTCTGAGTACAGGAACCTGGATGCAACTCATCTTTTCAATAATGCTTCAAATTTTAAAATTCAAGTTGCTCATGTAGGAAAGGTTGATAAAAACTGATGGAGTCGCGTTTCATTTATTTCTATGGGCTTAGAAACCAGTTTTACATGGGTTGGATTAGCGGTTGGTTTGCCTATAACCAATGCCTGGTTTCTTTTCCACATGCATATTAGATGTGGACCCTTGCGAGGGTTGCCTCACGAGCTAGCTGGCCCATTCCAAAATAATTTAGGAAGTTTTTGAAGTGTGATATTTCATTTTATAGTTGAATGATGATAATTTAGGAAGTTTATGAAGTGTGATATTTCATTTTTTATTTGAATGATGATAATGATTCGTTAGAACTTAGAACTCATTATACTGTCTCTAGCATGGCCCATTTATGTGATATTAAATTGTGTTCAAATGAGCCATGCTCTACTCAATTAAGGATTTGTTCGGCTCTTTTTATGTTTGATCCGAGTAAAAAATGAATGATTTGGAGTCATTTTTGAGTTAATTCACATCAAACCTACTACTTCAGAATTATTTTCTAAATACTAATATGCATATATAGATAGATAGAAGCATTTGTTCTTAATATTTTCTTAATAAGTTGCATGTTTGCATATCTATAAGGTATGTTTGTGCATGTGTGTGGGTTTCAATGTGTAAAGATGTATTTGCATATGTCAAGTTAATTTTGAGTTAAATCAAAACTTATCTTGAGATCCATCTAATCGAAGAAAATTAATTTTGAGCTGGTTAAAATTCAAGCAATTATCAAGTGAATTTTGAAATTTGAACATAATTATCATTTCTATGCGCACCAATCAATCAGTATTAAGTTGCTTGTGTACCCATTAAATACACACGAGCAATTCTGACATACATTGCTGCATGTATTTTTATCTCTGTCTGAATGCATGACTATTATGCATTTCAGTAGGCAATTCTGCTTGCATTAACAGCTGCTTTGTTATTTTTCCGGTCCATGATATTGAAAATGCGCTTATTCTAAGCTCGGCATTTGACATCATGCAAGCAATACCTGCAACTTAAAAACTTAGACGATTTGCTTTAATCTGCCAAGCGCATTAGTACTTTTTTGCTTTTTATTTGTTCTATTCTCTGATCACAGTGTCTCGCAGCAATTTTAGATTAACTGCAGCTTCTGTGTGCTGTGCTGCTAATTGAATTCTTTTGCAGAAAGGATTTCTGATTGGAAAAATGTAGTTATTGCCTACGAGCCAGTTTGGGCCATTGGAACCGGCAAGGTTGCAACTCCTTCTCAGGCCCAAGAGGTATTGCTTGGTGTCATAATACTCATCTTTGTTGTTCTTGGATTATTTTAATGATACCTGACACCAGCTCCAATTCTGGTTTTTCATCGGCCATTACTTTTCTTCATTAGGTTCACTTTGAACTGCGGAAGTGGCTCAAGGAAAATGTGAGTGCTGAAGTTTCTGAATCTACCAGGATCATTTATGGAGGTACTTATCCTTTCCAAGCATTTTAGACATTTTTCTATGCTGGATTTGATCTATAATCCTTAAAATAATCCCATCTCTTCTTGCAGGTTCTGTAAATGGGGCGAACTCCAAGGAATTGGCCGCACAGCCTGATCTTGATGGATTCCTTGTTGGCGGCGCTTCTTTGAAGGTTTGCCTCCTTATCAGCATCAATATATTTACAAGTTTCACAAAATTTTATTACTATTCGCTATATCAATTTTGCAATAGTTTGAAACCAACCAATTTCTTTTATGTTAAGTACAGGTCTAAGTTTCAAACTTTTTTTTTTTTTTGTAAATCTTGTAAATCCATATTCAGTAAGGCTCCGTTTGAGATGACTTTCTTATTGCTTCTTAAAACAATTTTTTTACTAGAAAGTTGTTTTAAGAAGCATTAAGAAAGCTGTCCCAAACGGAGCCTGAATCTTGCGGGATTGAAAATTTTAAAACTGTCCTGTTAATTTTTTAATCTCGTTGAAGGCTATTTATTTCAAGATTTAAGTGATTTTCTAAACTCGTTGAATATCGTGAATCTATAAATCTTGGATTTGAATATTGCCATGACATATGAGCTATTAAGATAAATTTACACGCATCACATACGTAACCTTCGAACCAAAAAATATGTTGATTAGTAATCTAAGCCCCCAACGAATAGACGCCAAAGTGACCTACTTAAACAAAGATGAAGCTTTTCTCCAAAACTGGTATGCTGCATTCAACATGTTTTCCTGCAATTTCAAGATGGCTTAAAGTTTCTTTTTTTTTATAACTATTTTTGGATATATTTCCTTATCTGATGGTTATTTATTTATTAAATTTTCTATGCACAGCCTGAATTCGTGGATATTATCAACTCTGCCACAGTGAAGTCCAGCTAGGTGATTTTGAGCTCTTCGCCATCACCTCACTTTCTTAAGGCTTTACGGCCAAATAATATTTTCTCCTGAAACTATCTTTTTTTTGTTTTGTTACTTAAAGCTATTTATCTTCTATTTTGAGTGCATGTAGCCCAAACCATTATAGCTACAAATTATTGTAATAACAAACGTGTGAGTAATATCGAACCACTTAATTTTTCTGGCTGAGTTGAACTGCAACATCTACATGGAGAGTTCTTACTAAATTTTTATTTATTTATTTACTAAATTCAAAAGTATTTTTATAAATAAAATTTGAATATTTTTATATTAATAATAATTATGATTAATTGCTTTTGGCTCAATTTAAACCCGGTTTCAGTTTAAAAATTACTTTTTCACCCTTAGCCCTATAACTTGAATAAGCTAAAGCTAATTAACCTGGTTTTTTGGATTTGGAGTATTGACTTTTATTAAAGCTGTTTCTGGTACAGCTGGAACTTGCTCGGTTGCTCAACTACTTCAGTGAAGGATTTCAATATGAAGCTGCTTTTACAAGTAAAGCTAACTATTCTATAACCTTGAAAAGGGTTAAATTAAATAAATATTATTAATAAAAATTAATCATTATAAATAGGTATTATCAGACTAAACTATTTACATCAAAAGTGCTTGAGATTACCGTTAGAAATGGATAAATTATCTAAACAATTTTATAATAAAGATTTTTTTATAGTTATTTTATTGTTTTGTAAAGTAATTTTTAATCAAAAAAAGTATACTAAAAAAATAATTTAAAAAATAATAAAAAATTGTCTAAAGTAAGCCTAAAGCCTAAGTTAATGAAAATCTCCTACAGACATTCAACGGTCTCATAAAAAAATGATGACAGATCAAAGAAGATCATTTCATTGGTGATTAAATTTACTTCTACTAAAAGCTCAACTTTATAGGACGAAATCAAACACTTTATATTTACGCTATCAATATACTTTTCCCAAGCTAAGAAATTGAAAATAATCCGAGCTCCAAATCCAGGCCTGGAAGCTTCAGTAATTAAATCAGTCACGGATTGCAGGCTAAAGAAAAGCTATCTACAAACATGAATGAATACACGGAAACTGCAAAAAAAAAAAAACAACCCCAACTTACAGTTCCTCTTCAATCCACCACCGCTGCTGTTTCCTTCTTCGTCACCGTTAAAACACTTAAATGAAGCCACCTCTCTAGCTTCCTTTCATTCAAAAGTTTTTAAATTCTGATCACTCCAATGAAATTTGAGGAACTTCTGATGCAGAGGGAAGAGCTCAATCAGAAGAGACTGGAGCTGGAAGCTGAGGTGAGATAAAGAACAAAACATTTACATTAAAACAATGAAGAATTACTATTGTTCAGATCATTGAGAAATTTCCATTTGATTTTATAGGTGGCTCACTTGCAGGAAGTTCTTGAGAATGAACAGAAACTGAATACAGTTCTTCATCGTGTGCTTCACGGGTCCATTGTGTGTCATTCATGCCTTTCTTCTTCTTCTTCTTCGGTTTCTAGTCAGGTGTTCTCTTTTTCAGCAAACGGTTCTTTTGCAGATCTTTTCTTCTAGGATGTAAATGTAGCTCTGCCTTCATTCCAGCCGTCCAATTTACTTTGGGTGGTTGGATTGAATCTTTTATTTATTTATTTATATTGAAATTTATTCTAGTTTTGATGATCACAATCAGCAAACATGATTATGCCAACAAATTTATATTAACAGAGATGATCTGTTGAACTAGTGAGAAGCCATCGTGAGCATAATATATTTGTTCATGTAGATACAGATTCTTATTGGAGAAATAGCAAAGGTGGAAGAAGAAATTATCTATTTAGAGAGAAAAGTGGATGAAATAAAGCTAAATCTGCATCAAGAAAGGAAATACAAGAAAGAATGTCAGCAACTGCAGTGGGAACAAAAACTTCAAAGACAGCAGAGAAGAGAAGAAGGAAGCCATGGACTCATTGAACAATCACCAAATATGGAAATAATTAATCAAATTCCAATCAATGAAAGGAATACTTCGCTGCAGTTGGTTGCAGAATCAAAGAGTTTGCATTATAAGAAGATATCTGGTTAGTATTCTCCTACATTTGAGCTTAATTCTTTGAGCATTTTCATTTGGGCATTTGATGAGGAATTTTTGTATGAGTGAGAAATGCATTCAGTCAGATAATCTATTAAGATCCACATAAGAGTGAAGAATAATCTTACATTAAAAGTCAAAAGAAAGGTTGAACTCATAGTATTCTTGTAGTTGCCCTTGCACATTAGTTTATACTTTTGGCTTAATGAGTACTCATTCATTAGTATATTGAGTTCAATTAGGGCTTTAAGGGTTTGACCCTCTAGTAAGTGGTATTAGAAGGTTTGATTTAACTTAGGCTTCAGTTGGGACGACTTTTTTACTGCTTCTTAAAGTAGCTTTCGAGTACAAAAATTTGTTTTAAGAAGCAATAAGAAAGCCGTCCTAAACGAAGCTTTAGTTTGAGTCTCTCATGGGTTTTGGCAAGTTGTACAATGATCAAGCAAGGTTCAAGGGCAGTAGATCTTCAAGCAAACTCAACATGGCTAAGTGTGCTCTTAGTTTATGATATTTGATCGGTAAAGAGCATAGGAAATTTAAGAAAATATGGAGGGCTTTAATATGATTGGCATATTATTAAGATCCATATGAAATTTTGTTGATGGCTTCAATATGTTCAGAACATCAAATTTAGGAGTATTTCCCAACCAATAACTATACCTAGCCAATACCCCTTTTAATTGACCAAAAATGGAGGTTAAGAAGGTAAGAGATTCACATAATGATATGGGTGAGCACATCACACATACAACAATTGGTTCTCATAGTTTACTTCTCATGTAAATCTTCTTGCATGTTAATGAAATTTCCCTCCCAATCCACCTTTGCTTGTGGATTTTTTAATCTCTTTATGATTTTCATAGATGATTGAGAATTATTGAACTCTGAAAGTTTGCTTACTCTTCTTCCCACAATTTCTGCAGATAATGAAGCTGATGAAAATACAGACAAGTTCCAACAACCATACCAAATCCAAGGATTCAGAAATGAAGAAACTTATAGAGGAGCACCAAATAAGCTATCAGAGCAGCTAATCAAAATACTGGTCAGCATTTTTAAGAAACTGATTGTGCCTCAAGCTCATCTAGAATGTGAAGCTACCACAGCTCCAAAGCTCAATATATCTTGCATAAGATCTAAAAGCTTTATGCCCAAGCATTTAACAAGTAGCAGAGCTCCTATTATCTTTCAAGGCACACAAATACAAGATCCTTACAGTATATTACCTGATGGTGATATTGGACCTTATAAGAAATTCATACAACTAACAAGAAGTACATTGGATCTTAATCGGATCGTCTTGTGTCTACCAGCCATTGAAAAACTAAGGTAAACATTACATATCACAATAGATCTTCAGTTAAAAAGTACTGTAGTCAAATTTTCATAGATCTAAAGATAAAAGAGTTATTTTTTTTCAGGTTCTTAATACATAAGCTTACTGTAGTGGAGTTGCATTTCTTGTCTTATAAGCAAAGGCTACCATTCTGGATCAACATCTATAATGCCAGCATAATGAATGTAGGTAAGCCAACTTATCAAGAAACAGATTGTATGAATAAAAAAGACTCATATGAGCAACTTTTTTTTATCTCAGGCATTTCTTCAGCACGGTTGGCCAACCTCACCTGGAAAACTACTTAAACTACTGAACAAGGTATGCTTATCATCGTCATTATCATCATCAACAATGTTAGATGTATGCCAACTATTTAGAATCAGCTTTATTAAACATCATTTTATTCGGATTGAGAAATGATTATGACTTCATTTGGGATGGCTTTCTTTCTGCTTCTTTAAGCAGCTTTCGAGTACAAAAATTGTAATTTTTTTACTAAAAAGCTGCTTTAAGAAGCAGAAAGAAAGACGTCCCAAACGAAAGCCTATATCGAAGAAATGTTGATAATGCATCCCTCACTAAACACACAACAATTGAGAGGCTAACAATGTTGTTGATGATAATGATGATGATTTATGTAATATCAATGCAAAATGATCAAATGTTTAGCCACTGAAAACAATTTATAATCCATGACTTAGGCTGCATTTAATGTTGGAGGCATAGTGCTTAATGCTCTTGCAATTGAGCATTTCATTCTTCGGTGCTCTTCTGATGTAAAAAATGTGAGTGAACCTTCACAAAAAAGTTTTGATTGTTCCATTGATTTGTTATTCAACTCTAACTGTTCCATATTTGATAATAAGGGAACTGTAGATGAAAAAGAAGCAGAGCTTAGACATACCTATGGACTTGGTTACCCAGAACCAAACATCACATTTGCACTTTGCAGAGGCAGCTTCTCTTCACCTGCAGTAAGTAAAATTTGCTTCTCTCTATAGTAGTAATTCATAAACCATCACTATATTGAATCCTTTTGTATTTATTTCTCAAGATAACTAATAAGCTATGACTTCAAATATTTAGAAAATGAAAAGATACCAAGTTTGTCAATACATTTTCCTTATTCAGTCAGTCCCCACTGCTTAAAATCTATCTTCTTCCTCTCAACATTGTGAGTCTTCATTTACAAACATAAAATTTTCATATTATTTCTTCTGGAAAAGTAAGCATTGTTAACAATATGACCTCGAGTTATTTGACTACAGCTAAGAAATGATCTATTCGATCTACTCTTAACTATTGTATTGTATCAAGCAAATTATGTCATTAAACATAGGATCTGTTTGGCATAACTTTTTCACCGTCTTATTTTTCGTATAACAACTATAATATTTTTTCGTGGTATTCTCTCAGGTTTTCTTAAAATTTGTAATGGTTGAAGGCTGCTTTTTACAACCAACTTTATATAACAATATAGTTGTTCCAAATATATCCTTAATCCAAGCTCAATCTTAACAAAAAAATAACAGCTACGTCCAATCTATCTCTATCTTCCAAGAGAATTGCTTGCATACCTTTAGAAAAATACACATAGAGATGTGTTTAAACCGCTATAGTCAATCCCCACTGCTAAAAAGCGCAGCTAAAGCCTTCCTACAACAGCACTCAGAAAACTGCTGTCAAATCCTTTGCAACGAACGCAAATACAATAGATTTGCAACAGTTATTAAGCCGATGCAAATAAATTAATAGGTGTTAAAATCACTGCAGTAAGTCCTAAAAAGTGCAGTGGGTTTTCCTAAAGATAAATTTTGTAATTCCACAAAGGGGTTTTCTTTTCTTGTTATGGGCATGCAGCTGAGAGTGTACACAGCAGACAATGTGGTAAACGAGCTGGAAAGAGCCAAAGTAGAATTTTTAGAAGCTTCCATCTGCATCACAAGCAAGAAGAAGATAGTGATTCCGAAGCTTCTGGAATGGCACATGCTTGATTTTGCGGATGATATAGAATCGCTTATAGAATGGATATACAGCCAATTGCCAAGATCAACTTCGCTCAAAAGATCAATGATGGAATGGTTGAGCTCAGATAATAGAACTTCATTGTCAAAAATGGTAGAAATTAAGCCTTATAGTGCAGAGTTTCGTTATTTATTGTCAAATTATTGAATATTTGGTAAATCACTTTACATGTAATGGTGATGTATTAAAATAAATTTATTTATTGATTTTCATATGGAATTTAATTGCATTCAATTATGATGATCGTTTCTACCTGTTAAATATTACATTTTTTATTGGAAAATAATTGAAAAAAAATGATGAGTAAATCCTGAATTGGAAGTGCAACAGTGACGTTGTGCTTATCTGCTGAGGTGTTATGGAAGACGGGCTGACTCGGCCCATTCAAAGCGTGCTTTGAAAGGAAGTTCAAAATGAAGCTTAAGCCTAGCCTGGTCCACAATATTCCTTGAAGGATAAGTTGGACCACAACATTAGTCTTGGATGAAACGGTAGTCACTCATCCTCTCAGGAGACTGGTAGGCGAGAATCGTCTAAATTTGTTGTGCTTTTATTATTATTTTTACTGCTCTTTTGCAAATGCTTAGCAAAAAGACATCAAATATACAATTATGAATACAATTTTGCTTAGTATTTGCTGCACTTTTGCTATCCTTTTGTAAAAAGAACAACAAAATACTCAGCAAAATTGCATTCACAATTGAATACTTGCTGCTCTTTTGTTGAGTATTTGTAGAAGAACAGTGAAAGCACAACAAATTCAGACGGTTCTCATTGTCCGGTGTTCACACAATAATTTCTCCATGTCGTGACTCCAATGAGTTTGCACTAACATGTACCAACAACAAAGCCCTACATGGGATTCTGGTTGGGTACCCATGCTTTACTCGGACGGGCTTTGCCCACCCATGCCCAACCATGGTAACTTTAAGAATGTTATACCCACCTATACCCGCCCACTTTTCATGTTTTTTGAACACAGTCTGTCACGGATTAATTGCATTGAGGTTTGTTGTCCTTTACTATGATTGCAAACTTTCAAGACACATATTAGAATTTAATCATCGTAGTTGCAGCGTGGTTAAGTGTTGCACACTATGTACTGAGGATTGTAGTAATATAAGATATACCGTGATTAATAATGTAAATCGATTTATCCCCTAATATTAAGTATCCACCCATACCCACCCACAAGGCCATGAGTGTACGCATTGGGTATGGGTGGGTATATGGGTGGGTACCCAATGCAGAGCTTTGACCAACAATGTGGCGTAATTTCATTGAGTTCGAGTTGGCTTTCTTTCTGCACGAGGTGCTCCTTTTATTACTTTGGAGTCCCGTTTGAGATAAATTATCCACTTTACAGATTATTGTAACAAAACATAGCTGATTATATATATTTATATATATAAATATTTTCATTAGAGAATAATGAAAGTGGCTGCGGGCTGCATTCTTTTGCAGCCACTTCAGCAACTCAGATAATCAGTATTTTCATTCTTCACCACAAATATTCTTATATGGTCATAGCACACATTAGCGTAGCCCAAACCCCCAAACACGGCCTAAAAATCGGCCCACAATCTCACACACTTCAACACGGCCGACCATAAGCCAGTTGGGCCGGGTCGGGCCGTACAGCTCAAGCGCGAAAATTCTTGCCGGAGAAAGTCTGCCCAAACTGCCAGTTCGCCGGAACAATGTTCCAGGAGGTGGAGGTCCGGTGATCGCTGCCGGTGACGCGGAAGGAAAGAGCTTGACCAACCAGATCGGCATTCGATTGCCAGTTCTGGCCCCAGTTGCGCGACATTGTCATCCAGCCCGTGCGAGATCCCTTCACGCTGACCTTCACGATATCGCCGGCGCCGGCGACGTTGGAGATCAGAACCAAATTGAAGTAACGGAAGCCGTTGATGGTGTACCGGATGCCGCCACTCTTCTTGCAAGCCACTCTGCAATTCAATTTATAATTATTATTTTTTTTAAATACGAATATTTTTAGGATTATAAAATACTCTCAAATTAAATAAAAGATTTTTTTGGAGGGAAATATTTTTTTTCTATGTGAACATTGGATACCATGGGACCCACCACGTTGCCATACCGAACATGCAACAACGACCACGTGGAAGAGTCATAATAGAATAAAAAAAAATGTAATATTACAGAACTAAAAAAAACAATTAATGTAATAATACCGGGCTAATTTTGTTAATAAATGAAAAGCCTTCAATTTTCGTTTCTATGCGATCATAGGATACCGTGGGACCCGCCACGTTGCCACACTGAACATGCCATGTGCAGGTGTTGTTGGTTCGGCGCGCGGCCGTATTCCCTCCAACGCGGTAATTACGCAAACACCCTCACAGAACATCATAAATGATCGAGGATATTTTCGTCATTTAGAGGAATCGTAGGACCCGCCATCACGTGATGCAGATTTGATGTGGCTCCCGAATCCATTTCCGTGATACCATAAATAAATAGAGTAAATAAATTTATATTCTTCAAAATAGTAGGGCAAAAATTAAGCTCGACCATCAAAGTAAGTTGACTGCCAGTAGAACGGGCAACGTAGTGGGCCAATAGTGTTAAAAAAACCATTTTGAGTTCGGATCCGGTCGGGTCGGGTTAACAGATCAATTATTACCCGAATTTAAGCCAAGGAAGCAATCAGATCCAGATCTTACTAGTTCTACTTTCTCATCAGATGGATCAATCGGGTCGGGTATGTCCCCGAACCCATAACGAGATCTACAAAACTTGGATCAGGATGAAAGAATCAAAGGCCCAATGGTTAGACAAGTAAAAACTGATAGTAATCGTTTGTTCTCATAAAAAGATCTTGATAAAATATTGAAGAGTTAATTGTAAAACATTATATTTATTATCTAGATTTTAGAATTTTATTATGAGCTATTTAAGAGATTAAATTAAAAGAAGAATATTTATCATATTTAATGATATAATTACAAAAAAAATTAAAATTAATGTCACATAAAGTTAGGTAGATTAATAAAGACTTTTTAATTTACCCATAAAAAACTTTTTGCTAGAAATAATCAAATATACATATAATTAAATTTTTGGGCAAAGTAATTTTATGCATTTTTTTTAAAGGGAGCTTAGAAAAATGGAAACAGATAAAGACAAATAGATATTCCGCAGCTTAGAGTAGCAAAAAGAATTAAACAAATTAAAGGACAAAGTAGTCAATTTCTTTACGAGATGGAGACCGGAAAAGAATTTTTAAAGGCAAGAAAATGACTGCAACCACCCTCGGCGAAAGCAACAGCGGTGGCAGAGAAGACATTAGAGAGGAAAACATCAAAACTAGAAAACGTTAATTGACTAACCGGCGAAACGAAACCGGAACTATGCCGGCACGGTAATGTGCGATCTTCAGAAACATCGGCATCGCAAGATCAAAGTGAGTGCGAGGCGGATTGCACCATCCACCATTATCAGAAGGTTGAGCGAAGTTCGGGGGACAGAAATTAGTCGCCGTGATGAAGATCGAAGGGTTGCCAGGTACGCACCATTGTGGATCTTCGGTACACTTTAACTCAAAGCACGCCCCGCAGCTCAAACCCCCGTTGAACAGCGCCGTGCTCAGCGCCGCCGTCTCCACGCCGTAGCCCTGGCTATACAGATTCCCATATCCGCACGCCCCACCTACAATTAATGATTCTCAAACTAACATCTATTGGCTTGGCTCAACGAATAAGTAGTGCTGATTGATATAATAAAATTTTGGCCGATAAGAACAAACCCATTGTGCCGGAGGCGTCGTTGCCGCCGTAGAAAGTGGCGTGAGCGCTTTGCCACGACCCGCCGGCGTAGATCCCCGGTATGCGCGCTTCTGTAGTGAGGGCAGATGAGAGTAGGCTAGCTACAGCAATCGCAACAGCAAAGAGAGGCGCCATTACTGCACGAAAGATGCTAGTGAGAACGGAGAGTGAGGAAAGCAGAAGGAAGATGGGTTATTTATTGAGAGCGCGAGTGCGCTGGACGGAGAGAGATAGAGAGAGAGAGAAAGAATTTTATTTTATTTTTACTTTTTAGTGAAATTTCGAGAAATGTGAAAAAATTTAAAATAAAGTGAAACGAAAAAATGTAACGTTCTCTCGGCAGTTATGCCATAATTTTTTTTGGAAAATAGCTGTGCCATAATTAGTAGGTTTCCGTTTCAAAATACGGCGGCGTCGAATTTAACGGCACGGTTTGGGATTCGTTAGGTTGTTACGGGACGAGAGGTGTGATCGGACGGTGGTGATTAAATAGGAGTAATACGAATGGGTTGATCTTGCAAGGCCAGTAGACAGGGCAAATATTGCTTTTGCTTGGGTTCGAAATGGAAAAGATTAATGTGAGGTGAGGGTGCGTTTGAGCAGCTAAAGGGACCAATGGTGGAGGCTCATCTTAGGCTTCTTTTGGGATGGCTTTTCTATTGATTTCTAAAATGGAGTTTTAGTACAAATTTTTTTATTTTTGTACTAAAACTCCGTTTTAAAAAGCAATAAAAAAGACTTCCCAAATGAAGTCTTAGTCATAGATTCTACATTTTTCTGTAGGTTTTAAAATAGATCATAATGAATAGAAAGAAGGAACCCACCCCAGCTTCGCTAAGGTCGGGGGAGCTATGGGCAAAGCTCAGGTCCTGTGCTTGAATCTCTTGGACAATCGTGAAAGTCTTAAGTGTTGGCCCAGATAAATTAGTGTGGGTTGCTTGCTATATTGATTTGGGTTTACTCGCGGCTATGCGAAGGGGTTCCTCGTCACAAAAAAAAATGAAGAAAGAGAGATCTATTGTGGTGAGTTGAATCAGATGATATAATAAATAATAATAATAATATTAAAATAATTTTTAATATAAATTAATTTACATGTATGTATATAATTTAATATAAATTATTATTAATTTTGGTTAAATGTTATATTATAATTTACATGTAAATCATATAACTAGTTTATACTTATAATTTTAAATTTAAATATTTTCTAGATGAAATAATAATGATATAATAATCATGTAAAAATATAAATGAGATCGGAAGCACTGGATAGAATAAAAGTAGTGCTTGAGAAAGCTAAAATTTTCAAGTTACCCTGTTTTCTTACGCACTTCCTGTTCGTTTCTACAGAAAAGGCCCATATCAATAATGGTTTTGTTGAGCCTCCCCACCTAATACCTTATATTCGTTAACACTCCACCTCTTATATATAATTACCTTAGCCACCTATATCCAGTAACAAATTTCCTCTTATTTTCCAGAGTTTTTAGCATCCTCGATTATTCGTTTATCAGCATTAAGATATGCCTCTTTCAACTGTCTCGATTTAAGACCAGTCGATGTATTCATCCTGTTCCAATGGTTGATGTCGTCGATCAATGGCTTCACTAGCTTCAAAAATCCTTCAAATACCATCGCTTAATTATGATCCTTCAGCCTCTATCGACTAATAATGATCTTTTAACTACCGTCGATTGTTTATGAGTTCCTAACTACTGTCACCAAAATATAATCCTCGAACCATTGTCGTCTGACTATGATCTCCCGACCATCATCACCAATGTATAATGTATTGATCATTATTATTGTCTTAATAGCCTGACATTGCCATTAGTGCACACTATCACTTATAAAGATAGTGCACATTGTAAATACTAACTCTGAATCTCAAAGTCGATCTAATATTTCATGTTGGGCTTCTTGATATATGATATCCCCTTCACAAAGGAAAACAACTAAATATATGACAAATTATCTCTTGAAGATAATTTTTATGCCAAAGGCTGGCTCTTCTAACTTTCTCTTCACGTAATTTGTTATGTATAATTTATGTTTATTATATATATTTATGACTTTTCTAATTACGAGGAAAAACGTCATTTATAATTGATGTTAAAGATTATTGTAATCATTTTAATTAGATTAAACTTCATTATTTTTTCAATCTTTAAATCAACTCTCTTTTAATTGTGAGAATATTAGATTTTCGTACAAAGTTAAAACATTAAAAAACTTTCTCTTCATCATCATGAATATTCCGACGAACAAAATAATAATTATAAAATCTTATGTTAGAGAGTAGCCCAATATACTTTATTATTTAACTCTTTTTATTTTCTTTCTAAAAAGTTATAAATAAATATAACAAATGCATGTATTTTGATATGCTTGTATTATTAAAATTCAAATGAAAAAAATATGGTGTGAAAATTTTATTGTGAATTTTAGAGTTGGAATAATAATTGAATAAAAGAAAATTAAAAGTTTTTTAACTTTATAAGAGCCTAAATTTGATGATAAACATGAAAAATAAGAAATTATTCATAAATATTTTTCATAATAGACAAATTAATGACACGTTTAAATTTTGTTGACCTTAACGGCACGGAAGAATATTATTTCAATCGGAATCGGGTTTGAATTCAAGGCATAAAAAGCAACTCGCATGTTAGGTGGGTCCCACGTATTTCCGTAAATTGCGGATCAATTTTCCGGCTTTGAGATTCGCATAAGATGCGTAGGTTTTTTTTCTTTTCTTTTCTTTTTCGGTGCATGAAATTTTTCGTGTTCAACTTTCCTCATTGGGTCTCGACAACCTTGACTTAGGTCATCTCCAACCGAACGTCAAAAACGAGCATATGACGTCGTTCGGTCGCTCCAACCGAACGCAAAATTTTCTTCCGCCATCTACTTGTATGTGAACAGTGCGACACCAATATTGGCGTCCCACTGTTCACCCACGCCATTTTCGGCTCTCAACCGGAAAACGCGCTAAAGGAGAACAATCGTTACCTTCCCAGAAACGCCTAAAATGACGTTCGATTGGAGCAGCCGCACGACATTTTGGAGTTTTGCGTTATTTTGCCGTGAAAAATAGAGTCCTCGGTTCGAGATGCCCTTATAGTTTTGGTGCACTTTAATCACACTAACGGTGCAAGAACAACAAATCTATCACACTATAAAGTAATTTAGGCTCCGTTTGAGATAATTTTATACTTTCTAAAATAAATATTTAATGCAAAATTTTTCTAAAAATAATTTAAAAAAATAATAGCCAAAAGTTATCTCAAATAAAAATTTAAACTAAGGCTTTATTTTGAATGATTTTTTTATTGCTTCTTAAAATAAAATTTTAGTGCAAAAATTAAATTTTTTACTAAAACTTAATTTTAATAAGCAATAAAAAAGCCGTCTCTAACAAAATCTAAAACAGAATTAAGCCTGGAAGAGGCGATGCGAGTGGCCAACTGTAAAGAGTATATGAATCATGAATGATGGTGGTGGCTCAATGGCTGAAAGTGAGTCAAGATGATTCATTAGCTGACTTGAATTTGGCTCGTGAGCTAAGCTCAATGAGATAATATGTCAAACTTGAGCCGGTCCTGACTCGACTCCCTAGCTTGTGAGTCATCTCATTTAAAAAATAGTAATTTAAAAATTTATTAACTACAAAGCCAACGACCATGGCTGCCACACCCACATGGACGATTTGTTGCTCACCATGAGAGATTAATTCATGCACATTTCCATGGCACCGGCCTTCACGAACTCGCCCAAGATGCCATCCTAGAAGACTCCTCTAAATGACTCACTCCCAAGGATTTGCCACCCACACGGGGCACTTACCAACATCATCTAGAGCTATTCCAAAGATAAATGACTACGTGTATATTGTTAAGACACCTGACACGTCAGTAGTCCAGAAACGTCTCCGGTAGTATTAGATGCCTATATATACAATTGTAATATGTAATACTGAGAAATAAGAAATCAATATACATCTTTCTCTATCTCTTCTTCAGCATTCAGTTTATTCTTCTTTCCCGCTCGTCTCCGTTCTCATGGTATCAGAGCTGTAAAGCTCTACAGCGTTCTCGTTCTCCATGGCGGAAGAAGACTCCGCCGGCTCACGCCGGACCTCCTCTGCGATTTTAAACCGCGACACAGAGCTTATAATCCCTCCCCATCTCAAATTCTTGATATCCAACATCAAGAATCTGGTTCCCACCTCTCTTACAATCGAGAACTATTCGATCTGGAGGCTTCAATTACTCCAGCATTTCTCTGCGAACGGCTATGGAGAACATCTCACTGGACAAGTTTCTTGTCCACCAGACTCAGAAGAATCCGAGCGAAATCGCTGGACTCTCATTGACCGTAATATTGTATCTGCCCTGCTATCTACAATCTCACCCGCCATCCTGCCATACGTCATTTCTCTTCGCACCGCTCACGACGTATGGACAACACTCGAGCACAGACTTCAACCCACAAACAGATCTAGGGTCATTCAGCTCAAAAATGAGCTACACCAGATACAGCTTCAAGATCGGACTATACCCCAGTATCTTGATCAAATCAAGAAAATAGTGGACAACATCACTGTGGCAGGCTCCGCCGTCGACACCGAGGAAATTGTTCTTTACATCCTCAACGGACTGCCCGCGGTTTACAATCCGTTCAAGACGGCCATCAGAACCTCTCTTCAGCCGATCCAGCTTGACGATCTATACTCTCTGCTAATTAGCGAATAAATCAACATATAACATCAACAGCTTCAAGAAAGTCGTACGTCGGACTCAACTGCGCTCTTCACAAATAGATCCACTAACTGCCGCGGCAAACAGAACAAGTTCCACGGGAAAACCAATTTTCGTCAATCTCCCACGGATCGAGCCTCTTCTTCTGATGTTCAAGCTTCCGCAAGAACTTCAAACCAGTGCCCTCAATTCCAGATCTGCGGTAAGATGGGTCACTCAGCACTAAATTGCTGGCACATGTGCAATCTAACCTACGCCCCTCCGTCCAATCCACGGGCTCTCACGGCTCAACTACATCACATAGCAACCAACGACTGGATTTTGGATTCTGGAGCGTCCTCCCATCTAACCTCCGACAACAGAAACCTCCAGCAATCCACACCTTACAACGGCTTCGATACGATTTCAGTCGCTAATGGAAGTAATCTATCCATACAAAACTCGGGCAAAGGTCTTCTATCCTTACCCGAGTCCAACAGTAAGCTTAATCTGAAAAACATACTTCACGTTCCGTCAATTTCTCATAATCTTTTATCCGTATCAAGATTAACATCTGACAACAACATCTCAATTTCCTTCACCGCTAACGAATTTGTCATTAAGAATCTCCAGGACAATCAGGTACTTCTCAGGGGTCCAATACGCAATGGTCTCTACCACATCAAGGTTCCTTCCAACCATAAAGCAGCTGCTCTTCATACGGTCCAGGCGCCCAATATTTCCTGGCACGATCGTCTTGGTCATCCGCACGTCCGGAAGCTCCGCAAACTCGCTACTCATATCCCTTATATTTCTTCAAATTCGTTTCATCCCGTTTGTATTTCTTGTAGTGTTTTTAAAAGTCATAAACAACCTTTTACTCGTAGCATCTCTACATGTAATAAACCGTTCCAACTCATCCATTCGGACGTATGGGGACCAGCTCCGTCTATTTCGTTCAATGGTTTTAGATTCTATGTCATTTTTGTAGATGATTACACGACATTCACCTGGCTTTATCCTCTTCACACCAAAGATGAAGTGTTTACTAAATTTCAAAATTTTTGTGCTCTCATTAGAACTAAATTCAATACCAGAATTCAAACTCTAAGAACTGACGGAGGAGGCGAATTCCTCAGCAATGCCCTCCGAAATTATCTGGCACAATAGGGCATAATGCATCAAATTAGCTGTCCGCACACACCCGAACAAAATGGTACCGCTGAGAGAAAACATCGTCACCTAATTGAGGTCACCCGCACTCTGCTCCACGCCGCCATTCTTCCAAATTCATTTTGGGCCGAAGTCGTGTCCACGGCAAATTACCTTATTAACAGGCTTCCCTCGGTTGCCATTAACGATCAAATTCCATACATGCTACTACATGGTACCTCGGCATCCTATAGTCACCTGCAAATGTTTGGGTGCCTATGTTTTCCATGGACAAAACCTTACGCATGCACCAAACTCGCTCCAAGGTCACAGGCCTGAATATTCCTTGGGTACTCCACTCAACATAAAGGATATCAATGTTTTGACATGACTCCTAGGAAGCTCTATATATCGCGGCACGTAATTTTTCACGAAAACATTTTTCCATATGCTGCCGCTACTACAACTACTCCAACTACAGACGACACAACGCTCAAGAACCATTCTCCTCTTTTGCTGGTACTTACATCCACTATTGCTCCATATACCAACTCGACCAAGGCCACCGCGTCTTCCACTCAATTTCAGCAGATACCTCATTCCAACGATTCCTCAGCTGCGAACGCTCACGAATAAGCAAGTCCAACAACGGACATTACCCGCCTACAGGACTCCTCTACCGCCTCTACACCACCTCGCCATCCGATGCAAACTCGCCTACGCTCAGGTATATCCAAGCCGAAACAAATATTTACACTGTTTGCTAACGCCTCTGTGCAGCCCACCCCCACCTCCTACACTACGGATGCGAAGCATGCACATTGGCGTTCGACAATGTCCTCTGAATTCCTGGCTTTGCAAAAACAGGGCACCTGGACACTAGTTACTGCTCCGCTCGACAAGCCCATTCTTGGCAGTAAATGGACGTTCAAGACGAAGCTAAATCCTGATGGCAAAGTCATCAAATACAAAGCTCGCCTCATGGCACAAGGTTGCTCACAATAATTTGGGGTCAAATTTACTGAGACATTCAGTCCCGTCGCCAAAATGGTAACTATCCGAATGCTCATTACTATTACTTTAACCCATAACTGGTCAATCAAACAGTTGGACGTTTCGAACGCCTTCCTTCACGGCGATCTTCACGACGAGGTGTATATGCGACAACCTAAAGGCTTCGAGGACAATCAACACCCGAAGCACGTGTGCAGGCTGCGGAAATCAATCTACGGTCTAAAACAATCTACGAGGCAATGGTTCCAAAAGCTCACCAAATTCCTGCAAACACTAGGATTCAAATTCAGTGCAGCGGATCCATCTCTTATATGCCTTCAAAACAACAACACAAACCTGTTCGTTCTTATTTACGTTGACGATATCCTCATTACCGGCAACAACACACTCAAATTGAACGAAGTTCTACAAAGCCTCCGCTCGGAGTTCAGCCTCAAACAACTTGGAGATATCTCCTTGTATCTCGGAAGACAGGTGATCAAAACCAACTATGGCTATTTTTTTGTCTCAATCACACTACACAAAAAACCTTCTTACTAATGCAGGATTTGAGGACTGCAAGCCATCACCATCTCCTGCTTCCCCTCGGGCTCAACCAAATCCAGACAACCAACCTTTCTCCAATCCCCAACTATTCCGCAAAATTGCCGGCTCTCTTCAATATCTATCTATCACCAGATCGGACATAGCATTCACCACAAATGCTATCTGTCAGCAGATACATCATCCCCGTAACAGCGACTATCAAGCACTTAAACGCCTGCTGCGGTATATCAAGGGAACGGTTGCATTCGGTCTTCCGGTTTGGCATGGACCACTTCAACTCAAGTGCTACACAGATGCAGACTTGGCCGCAAATCCCATCGACCATAAATCAATCTCAGGCTTCTGTTCATTTCTGGGACCAAATCTGATTTCATGGTCAGTCAAAAAGCAACAAACCGTGGCAAGATCATCAACAGAAGCAGAATACATAGCGCTATCGACAGCTACGTCGGAAGTCATCTGGATCCGGCGATTGGCTTCCGATCTCGGCATCCCACAGACTTCTCCCACCACTATTTATTGTGATAACATATCAGCGATAGCTCTTGCAAATAATCCCGTCTTCCACGCCAGGACCAAACACATATAAATAGATTATCACCTCATCAGCGACCACATTCAAAACGACACCATCAGCATTGCTCACATAGGCTCGTCGGATCAGCTCGCTGACATCCTCACGAAATCACTTCCAATAAATCGTTTTCTGGACCTTCGCTCCAAATTGACCATTCGATCATCGAACGATCAATTTGAGGGGGAATGTTAAGACACCTGACACGTCAGCAGTCCAGAAACGTCTCCGGTATTATTAGATGCCTATATATACAATTGTAATCTGTAATACTGATAAATAAGAAATCAATATACATCTTTCTCTATCTCTTCTTCAGCATTCCGTTTATTCTTCTTTCCCGCTCGTCTCCGTTCTCATATATATTTCATCCTAATCAACATGTCTGTATCAATATGCACCTATTATTTAATGTATCATTTTCTATTTTTTTTTTCTATGTGTAGCCTTTCACATAACCATCTTAACTTTATAAATAAGGGATGAGCATATTAAATTACCATTTTTACTGTTTATAGAGATTACTTAATTCCTTATATGTTCCCCATATTCATTGATTTTCTTCTCAAGTTCTCTTGCTAGTAGCCAAAATTATTAGTAAGTTCAAGTGTCGTCCACTAATAAATTTAGATCCAACAAACTCTCATTAAAAAAAAAAAAAGGTGATTTTCACATCAATCTAATGCAACTCTAACTCATGATAAGTTGTCATTACCAATATAATTCTAAACAATATATTTTTAAATAGGATAAATATATCTTTGGAGTCAACACTTCCATTTTAGCAATCCGCACACACCCGAACAAAATGGAATCGCTGAGAGAAAACATTGTCACCTAATTGAGGTCACCCGCACTCTGCTCCACACCTCCAATCTTCCAAATTCATTTTGGACCGAAGCCGTGTCCACGGCAAATTACCTTATTAACAGGCTTCCCTCGGTCGCCGTTAATGATCAAATTCCATACATGCTACTACATGGTACCCCGACATCCTATAGTCACCTGCGAACGTTTGAGTGTCTTTGTTTCCCATGGACAAAATCGTATGCAAGTACCAAACTCGCTCCGAGGTCACATGCTTGCATATTCCTAGGGTACTCCACTCAACATAAAAGATATCGGTGTTTTGACGTAACTCACAATAAGCTCTATATATCGCGGCACGTAATATTTTACGAAAATACCTTTCCATATGCTGCTGCGACTACAACTACTCCAACTACCGACGACACAATGCTCAAGAACCATTCTCATCTTCTGATGGTACCTACATCCACCATTGCTCCATATACCAACTCCACCAAGGCCATCGCGTCTTCAAATCAATTTCAGCAAATACCTCATTCCAACGATTCCTCAGTTGCGAACGCTAACGAATCAGCAAGTCCAACAATAGACATTACCCGCCTACAGGACTCCTCTACCGCCTCCGCACCACTTCGACATCCGATGCAAACTCGCCTACGCTCAGGTATAACCAAGCCGAAACAAATATTTACACTGTCTGCTAACGCCTCAGTGCAGCCCACCCCCACCTCTTACACTACGGCTGCGAAGCATGCACATTGGCGTTCGGCAATGTCCTCTGAATTCCTGGCTTTGCAAAAACAGGGCACCTGGACACTAGTTCCCGCTCCGCTCGACATGCCCATTCTCGACAGTAAATGGACGTTCAAGACAAAGCTAAATCTTGACGGTCAAGTCATCAAATACAAAGCTCGCCTTG